TATCATTTCTAATAATTTCTAACCAAGTCCTTTTTGGTCTACCTCTACCTTTCATAACATAAGTCAAATCTAATACATCTACTCTCCTAACCAGTCATAGAAAGGCCGTCGTGTTATATGACCAAACCATAAGGCAACTCTCTCTAATCTTATCATCCACTGGACCTACTCCAACCTTTTCACGTATATGCTCGTTTTATATCATGTATCTAAGAGTAAAGCCACTCATCCACCTGAGCATCCTCATATCTGTAACACTTAATATTATGCTTCTCTTTTAATAGTCAACATTCTGCACCATAAAGCATTGCAAATCTCACCACCATTTTATAGAATTTTCCCCTAAGTTTGAGGGGGACTTTTCTATCACACAACAAGCCCGATGCATTCCCTCTCTTCAAACATCCAACTTGAATTCTACTAATAATATATCAATCAATTGCACCATCACTATGAACAATAGATCCAGGATATTTAAAGCATGTACTCTTATTAATGACTTGATTGCTCAAAGTCATAATCCCCGCACTAGATCTATTACTACTAAAATTACATTTCATATATTTGGTTTTAGATCTACTTAAACGAAAACTTTTAGACTCTAACGTTGACCTCCGTAATTCAAGTTTACCTTTAACTCCCTCTCTAGTCTTATCAACAAGAAGAATATGATCAGCAAAAACCATAATTTGGCATTAAAGCATAAATCCCAGCTTACAAGAATTATGATAAACCCTTAAAATGATTAAAACATATAACTCCAAAACCAAATCCTACTAAGGCTAAAGCATAACCAGCCATATAAAGTGGCTATTTCTGCCACAAATGGAATAGCCTATAAACTTGAAATATTAGAAAGGTACATGGCCGATGTTTTATAAAGAAGATACCCCTCTAAACTTCAACTTCTCATAATCAGAAGGCAACTTCGCAATAAAGCACCCATGATTTCGAAGGAAGGTGAAGATACTTGAGGGGCAGCATATAAAGATGAGGATGATCATGTACAAACAAAAAATAACAACCTCCATTTAATTTTGATGCAAAGTTGGAGCTAACTTCTTACGACATTACAATGAACCTAGATTGAGTAGATAGTTGGATAAGCACTCGAACTTTACTTCTCTTTATGCAAATAAAATAGTGCACATAAAATCTCTTTTTTCCACCTAAAAATGTCCTTACATGCTCTCATGTAATGAAACATCAAGTTCAAAAATTATACATGATAAAATTGTCACGGTTTCCATAAAAAGGCCTTATCAGGTCTCAATTCTATCAATCTGTGAGAAAAAAAAAAGCAATGAATTTGATGGCAATAACAATGATAAAATTGCGAGTAATTTGTGCAAGACTACACTACAGAATTCCAAAGGCAAGTCTTTGCTTTAGGAATTTCATATAAGTGAGGTTCGTTTTCTTGAAACATGTGGCTGTCTACATGATGGACTCCGACAAGAGTTAAAACTCATCCCAATTAACAGTATAGCTGAGGTCAATTCAAAGGCCATTGCAATTGAAAAAAGAGATGAGTTAATTTTGGATCTAAAAAACAAAAAAACTTAAATTACAAAATGAGAGAAAGAAACCAAAGGTTGATCAAAAGAAAGATAATCGACTATATTATTCCCATTGCAAAGGCACATAACAATCATAATTGTTGGAAGCTCTACTTGAACTACATACTGAGAGAGATGTAAGAATATAAATAATAATAATAATTTAAATAATAATAACAATCGCTATTGGAGAAAAAAAACATTTAAATTGAGGAGATAGAAAAGCCCAAACCCAAAGATTGTTTAACAATCTAGAACCAAGGATATAGAGCAAATCAAAGAGAAGCCCTCCCAATAGAATGTGTATGTCAAGCAGTCTATGAAGACGACAATTTATTACACAATGACCATTTCTCGTTCAAATAGCAAAATAAATGCAATCACAGAAGCTTTGGTGCAAAAGCATGGACTAATGACCAACCCTCATCCAAAAGCCTACTTCATGGGTTTGATCAAAAAAGGAGAAGAGTGACAAGTTACCAAAATGCTCATAAATGAAGTCTCTTATAAAGTAATGCCACTATACGTATATCACATAATTCTATGGATCTCTTACTTGCAGAAAAAGAACATCCTCTATAATAAAAGGTTGCAAAAATTATAGACGTGTGAAAGATGACAAAGAATTTATCATTAAAAATTATTCTCCGCCTTCTTCTATGAAATCTGTATATGTAAAGGGTTATATAATCATCCATCCCATCAATGTTAGGAATACAGTAAGGACCCAAAGGCTAACAAGTTCTTTCAAAGCTATACAAAACCATCCAAAATGAAGAAAATTTTGTCAACCAGAAAAGCTTAAGGGAAAAAACTACTTTATCACAGGAGTAGCCCTGAACAAGAAAGATCCTAATAATAATTTTTTCACCAAACTAACTAATTCAAGAAGCGCTCATAAATTTATACAACAATATCAATTTCTTGTACTTTCTAGAAGCTTACAAAAGGTTCAATTATAAATCCCAAACAAAAAAGGAAAATAAGGCATGGAGTAGCAAAAAAGAAAACAAAAAAGTAAAATTGTCTTATCAAAAAGATAGGATAAGAGGAGTTGCCAATCATAAAAATATTTTACAACAACAAGAAGAATAAGCCCTTTTTTCCGCTAAGTGGGGTCGGCTACATGAATCATTTTTCTCCATTGTGTAATGAAAATATTTTGAATTCAAGAAAATTTCTATCCTCCAAACAAAAGAAGAGGAGATAGAAAAGGAAAGGGGAGTCCACTAAGGAACATAAAGGAAAATCAAGTTGATCATCCACAATTCACTCCTTAAAATTTCTCTCTTCTAACTGCACTATCAAAAGAAGTGATCGGGTCTTTAGTTTTGCTAATCATTTTGGATATAAATATGTCAATGTCTTTACTAATTAAAATAAATCACTTAATTGAATTAGATTTTCATCAACTCATATTTTCCGTCCTCTCCTTAGTCCTTTATAGCAAATGGAGTACATTATTCCTCATTGTTTCAGCATGATAGTGTGCACCAAAATAGGAAAAACACAAGCATGCAGCTTCAAACATTGATTGGTTCCATCCAAAAATTTTAAGACCTGTAGCTTCTATGGTTCTCTGTATTAGCATCAAATAATGAAACCGTTAAATATTCTATGCTATAATTTTGCAATAATTTTAGCAGATCAAAGGTGGATAGCAAACATAGAAGAAGAAGGTCGCTGAGGCTTTTACGATCAATAATCCTAACACTCTAAGGGTTGTTTTGTTGCAGGCCTTAGGAGTGTAAAGTAACAATAATGCAGGGTTTTTAATTTTTTTATATTTGGTTTGAAATAAAATTCAAACCATTTGTGCAAGGGAACTGGAATAACCTAGAATGCCTATTTTTGACAAACTTAAAATTCACCCAAATTGAACAAATTCCAAATGCAGGAAAAACTCAAAGCCCACAACCTTACATTTCCCACTGCAACCACTTCCTATTTCCACCGCCAGCCATTGCCCACTATTGTTTGTTGTATTTCAATGCATTTGAAATGTATCATAATAAACACAAAAAAAAAACATTTCAAATCATTGGATTTGCATTCAACAAAACAACTTATTCATTTCTAAATGCATATATTCCAATTGCTCTACAAATGCATAAATTTTAAAAGCATCAAAGAAACCAATCCCAGATAAAATATCTTATGTAAGATAGGTTCTAAGTTTAATCAAACACCTCACTCAAAGTCATTTTGACCAACGAGATTATAAGTTTAATTTGATTTTGAACCATATTTTGAGTAAGAGTATCCAAACTCTACCTAAGAGTATTGTGATCCCATCCATTTAGGAGGCTAGACCCATAGTCTATCTTGGTGGATTCTTCCATTACCTAAATATCTGTTTCCACTTTAATAAAAAAAATTAACAAACTAAAAACCATAGTAACTATATTACAGGTTTACTTAGGAAGGAAGAATATTTCATAAATCATAATCAAGATTCAGAGAGTATATAACCCCATCGTGAGCGAGCCTAATGAGCTTAGTAAGATTCCTGGTCTCATAGGATATAAAGCATCCATAATACTTGACATTAAAGACTGAGAATATGGATTACAGCTTATATTCTAGCGAACCTCCAAGACTATTCCAAAAATCAAAGAAAAAAAAAAGAAGAAGAAACTAAGAGAGCTCATATATCGCAAGATAACTAAGCCTATTGAGAAAACAGGTAACTGAGTGCCTGCTTGAAAAAAAAAAGAGAATAATCAAAATATATTGCGCATGCTGCATCTTGCTACAGAAAACGTTCACAAGGCATCATCACAGTCCAGAGCATTGAGAAGATAGGAATAAGGAACAGCACGCACTTCTTTTTAACTGTCCAGCCCAATTCCACAAGCATGGCATGAGTGTCATATTTCATTATTAGTTAAATTCATGAATTAATTTTATAATCCAGGAATTAAATTTTATGACAACTAGTTCTTACAGAAACTCTGTAAGAAACGGTTAGACCCGTTGGATTGCATGCGGTAGTTGCAAATGGATTTGTACAACTCACTTCGCTTACTTTGGATCGTGTGGCATCCAATTCAACAATGCAAAAGGATTCCGAACTGGTTAGCACAAACATAAATGGACAAAATAGTAAGTAGGGCGAAGCTAGTCAATAGACATTTCAGCTTCCTACTCTGAATTAGCAAAATCTCACAATTCATAAAAACCGGGCTGCTAACATTACAAGTATTGTATTAATATCTGCCAAACTTGATCTTTCTTCTTGAACTAAAGTTCAAACCTCTTCCTCTAAGACATTTAAAAAAATTTATTTCATTTAACCGTATTTCCTGCATTTAATTCGCTTCTGAACAATACATATGGAGGAAATTGTTGTTCACGTGACTCAAATTGGGAGGGCTAATCCCTCTCCTATACAAAAAAAAATACTAACACTATTAAAAACAAACGGAGCGTCCAACTCACAGTATCCTGCGGTGCACCGGCTTGAGCCCATCCCGCACGTCCGGGAGGGCACGGCCGAGAAGCACCGACATCGCATACGCCATGTAGGCCTCCTTTGCTTCCTTATGGAGCTCCGTTGCGACGATTTTCCCATCCCAAACGCCACGCCCGCTACTATCCTTAACCAACAGTGTTCCGTTGCCCCCTTCATCTTCCACTTTGCCCTCCTTAGTCTCTTCTTTATCCCTCCGCCTCGCTTTAAGCACGGGTATTCGCCTGGGCAGCCCAGTCGAGAGGAAGCGGAGCTCCGAGAAGCCGCAACAGGGGCAATGCCCGGAGGCGGAGAAGATTGGCCGGAAGCGCGCGAGTGAAGATGACGTAAGGCGGAGCATGGAGGAGAGGGCCATTACCGAGGAAGCGGGTATAAACCACTAGGCTTCTCCTCCCACGCGCAGCATCCAGCGCTTAGTTCGCAATTTGCTAGGCAACCAAACAAAATTCTTCTCCCAAAGGCTCTTACTCGTAAGTACGAAGCGACTGAGATGAAAGGGCAAGGGGTTTAGGGTTTTGAGGGGTTTGTTTTTTTATGGCGTCTGCGCGCCAAGTTTTGCTGGTATATAATATTCCTACTGTAACTATGGAGCTGGATAATTCTTTTTTTTTTATATAACATTTAAGATAATTAAGGTAAATTCATGTATAAATTATATTGTAAGACTTAGAATTTGTTTGGGACGGCTTTTTTACTGCTTCTTGAAGCAATTTTTTAGTACAAAAAATTTAACTTTTATATTAAAAAGCTGCTTCAAGAAGCAAGAAAAAAGCTGTCTCAAACAAAACCTTAGTCTCTGAGATTTCTTACTTAATAGTCAAAATTTTCAATCAACAAATTAAAATGAGTTCCATGTTATAGATCAATTAATATTACATAGTAATTAAATAAAATTTGAAAAGAATCTAAAGTTAGATTGTTCATAGTCAAAATTTTAAAATCAGATATTTTTATTTAACTTTTTTACTAATAAAATAATTTCTAAAAATAGAACACATAGATGGGATATAAGTTAAAAAATATATAAAAAAATAGATGGGATATAAGTAAGTAGAATTTGATGAGTTAAATTGTTGGCTAAGAAAGGGCAAAAACTCTATGTTTATGCTCACCTCATTAACTCATTGAGCTCAACATAAATCGTCTATTTATAAATTATATATAAAGTATAGAATATATATTTTGTTATATTATGATATTCAAATTATCATCGAGCCAAACACAATTAAACAAGTTCATATTCATGATTGACTTATCAAATAAATGCGAAAGTTTTAAATAAGATTTTATTTATTATTTTAATGGGTACGGGCTTGTACCTTAAAATTTTTGAAGTTAAACTAAGATTTTGTTTAGGACAACTTTTTGCCAATATTTTTTCCCTACTTTCAAGAATTTTTTATACTAAAAAATCGCTTTTTTAAAGAAAATTCATAGTCCATGGCAAGTGATATAAGTACAACTCAGACTCTGCAAAAAATTAATGGTGGCCAGGCAAGTCTTAAAAGCAAGACATTTTATCTTCGAGTCTTCGTCTTCTAGTCTTCGGATCATCTTCCTTCAAATCGTCTTCCTCTGAATCGTCTCCTTTAGGGTTTGTATTGTTCGTCATCCAGAAGAATATCCAAATGAATAAGAAATTATATGTGAATGACATTTTTTTCTCTTTGGATACCTAGTGTTTGAAATGTCCTACTTTTGAAGACTTTCATAACTCGATATTATTATAAATTACAAATTACGTTACATCAAAAATAGAAAAAAAAATTACTCTCATCTATAGTTATCCTAATAGAAAAATTATAAGCAGTTATAACATCCCAAACAGTTTATATATAAACAGAAAAGTAAACACACTTGGCTGGAGCACCTATAGCAATCATTTAAACCATTATTATTTATTATTTTAGCCTTCTTTATTTTAGCATTACATGAGCGTGGTCATCTGCATAAGATTGTGTTAGTATAAATCGTCCCTAATCTAAGAATAGATCTAACACACAATCGACCACATCACACATAAAGTATGTACAGTAATGAAAAAAACACACATTAAATTAAATTAATCAGCACACGTGCCACATGCAAGAGCATCACAACACAGAAAATGGAAAAGGCATAATCACCTGCCTAACCTAGAGTTAGAAGTGGTGCCATAGAAAATAATTATATGTGTGTGTAATAAACTTGTGATTATGCCTTTTCCTATGTTGAGTGCTTAGTTTAAGTTGCCTTGTATTTTGATTTGTTGAAGGTCAAAAGGGGAAGTTTAGTTAAGGTTTGAGCATTAATGAATTGGAGTCCATTTTAGTTAATTAAGTTTCTTGGTCCATTTTATTGCTTAGGATATTATTCGTTAAAATTTAAGTTGCATTAACAGGTTTTAGAAGGTATGGGGTCATCCTACCTACTAGATTAAGAGGGTCCGAAAGGTCACTTTTAGAAATAGATAAGGTTCTGAGGTTCCAGCATTTTTTAAAAATATTAGACCTTATGATGAGTAATTATATTATTAGTTTACTAGATTTGGAGTTTGCTAAGCAAAGTTATGAATTTTAGAAATTTCAATCCCTAGTTAATGAACTACGGTTGACCAGAGAGTTGACTTTTTAATTTAGGTTGATTTTTGAAAACCTAGTATTTTTTTATAAATATTAGATCTTAATTTAAGTTGAATGCCCTTTAGTTTGCTCAATTCAACATTTTCTAGAATTAGTTATGAATTTTCAAAGTTTGAGTAATTAATGAATTATTAAAATTGTTTAATAAAGTGGTATTTTAGGGGTTTTGATCCAAATCAGTTCCGAACTGCTTGGAATCACCCCCAAAGGACGGAAATGACCTAAATAGATGTTTTGGAGAAAATTTGGAATTTTAAATAATTATTTAATTTAATAAAAGGGTGATTTTAATCAAAATTAAATTAAAGTCTAATTAAAGGGCTTTTAATTTTTTGATATTAAGTATTAAAATTTGAAGAGTTTGATATATTATGGATAATTTTTGGAGTTAATTTAAAGTTATTAGAATTTTTTGAAGTTATTGTGGCTTAATTACAAGTTAAATAATGGTTTGTTAATTAAGGTATTTAAAGACTCCTAAAAAATTCTGTGAGGTTTCGGATATCACTATATTTAATTTTTTAATGTTTAATATCAATCGTGGATCTACCCTAGCATTATACTACATAGCTTAAACTAATAAAAGGGGAAAAGGGCACAATCTATGATTTTATTAAGAAAAGAGGAAAGATCTCTTGTC